GATTGCAAACCTGTCTTTATATTTTTCATAAGTGTATCCATTTTCTCTTGTTTTAGGACTATTCTGGAGAAAATGAGCCTGCTGGAGAAAGACTTAAAAAATACAAAGTAAGCAAGTTAATAGAGAGATTTTTGCTGAAATTCATTGTGCTGTTGTTGTTGACAGGCATGGTTTATTTGCTCTGCCTTAGGATTGCAAGTGTCCTGGGACAGGTGAGGGAGTGAGTGGAAGCTGGTGGAGCTACTCAGGGAGGACATCCAATTCCAGAGAGAGACAGAGGAGAGAAGAGCACAGGAGAGCAGGGAGAGAATGGAGAGACTGTTTTCTCTTCTTGAGAGAATGCTTAACAAATACATTATTTATTAGCCAAGAGAAAACAGTGGAAAAAAATGGGTAGATTACAATTTCTCAATATCTTTTTTTAAATGTCACATTGTCAATGAAACAACCTAATTTCTCTAGTTTATTTTTGTGATGTAAGTTCAAAATGAAATGAATAAGTTGTATACATTATTCATCTTTGTAGTGTAATTTATTTGTAAATGAGCTATATAAGCGAGAGAGAGGACATGTATTCCCTTTTTTATCAATTTCATGAAACGCGTTAAACATTTCATGTGTGGGTTAAATGACATGAATTTGTGAAATTTGATGTATTTTGAAGACAAAGATCTTCCAAAGACAGCAATGCATGGTTAAATGACTGATTGAGTGATAATTCAAATACTAATTAAAATGTGTACATTTTCTTTGTGTGAATAATAGCCTATATGTAATTCATAAAAACGAACTGTAATCTGATTATGAGCATTTCAAAACATAATACAATTGTCACACCACAGTGAGATAAACGCACAAAGAAGATTAAGATAAATGCAAATAGTATTTTAATAAATCCACACAAGGGTAAATCCAGAACAGCACAGGCAGCATAGGGACGCAGTAGACCGGACGAAAAACAGAGAACAGAACACAACTAAAGCCCGGCTCACACTGTGCGATTTTGACCACGATTTGGTCGTCTGAGACAAATTTTGAAAATCCTAAAAGATTCCTATAATCCTAGGCTGAAATCTGTAGTCTGTGATCGTTAGTTTGACATGTTCACCAACAGCCGATTAATGGCCGTTGCGATCAAATTTGACCTCCGACAAACTTCTGGCAGTGTCAGAAGATTTGGCGCACAGTCCTGCAGTGTGACTTCTCCTGCGACGAACGTGAAACTGTCTCTTTTTTAAAGACAAGCAATGATCAGAATTAATGCTAGAGATTTCTTCTAACCGCATAAACTCCGGCGCACCCGTCCTCCGCTCACGGAATTAATATGATTCGTTACCTCTGCTATGATAAACACCGGTTGCGCTGCTGTTTTCATGTGGGTGTGTAGTGCTGCTTACACTATTCTTCATAAATATGCCGGTATTGCTGCCGTTCATATACTTTTCATGATAGCCAACATTTCAGCCCCATGTGCAATGCAGCTCGCAGTCACTGAACGTGTACGGGTTGAACTACAGACAAGTTTTCTCGCGCGCACCCAATGCGTCTTGACTGTTATACAGTCTGACATTAATGACAACTGAGATCCCACAATGTGACATGATCATCATGTTCGTACAGTCTGACAAGTACAATCCTAAAGGACTTTTAAAAAATCGGTATTGCCGCCATTCATATACTTTTAATGATAGCCAACATTACAGCCCCGCGTGCAATGCAGCTCGCAGTCACTTAACGTGTGTGGTTTGATAAGGTAAAACTCGGGACAAGTTTTCTTGCGCGCACCTGTTTTTAACAGGTCTTGACTGTCTTACAGTCTGACATTAATGACAACTGAGATCCCACAGTGTGATATGATCATCATGTTCATATAGTCTGACAAGTACAATCCTAAAATACTTTTAAAAAATCACATAGTGTGAGCCCGGCTTAATATAGTGGAGCAAATGAGGATAATTAACCAGACACACCTGGACTTAATGACACAATCAAACATGAGGGAAAACTGGGTCACAGAACACATGAGGAATAAAAACACAAAATTCCAAAGGGGTGTGACAACAATCTAATTACAAGTAGCCTAGTATTTTGTTTGGAATCTGATTACATAATCGAGATTACATGCTATAAATTGCTACCCAGCGCTGAAAATGCTACTGATCATTGCTATGTTATCACTCAGGAAATAAATCAGTTAATTTATAGATGAGTATGTACACTGAATTTGCAAAACAAAACAAAAAGTCTTTGTGCTGCAATCTGACAGAGTACATTTGTGTAAGGTACTTTAACATGACTCCGTCTATTTACACTTTTAATTATCATTTTACAGTTAATTCAGATGAGCTTAGTTTGAATGATTTCAGATTATTTGTTTTTGCAAAACACCGGCTCAGTGGATGATTGTGAAAGACAGAATGACTGCATCAACTTTCAGAGCCTTAAAGGGGGAAAATGACGCAAGATCAAACTGCTCTGTATTATAATCGTTACTGTAGATCAGACCGCTGATGGTGGATGAATCCGGTTGTGTTACAACCACCAACAGCAACTCGATCGATTGAGAAATTGTGGTATTTAACTTCAGGTTCACTATGAGTTTGCATACGCCGACCGAGAACAACAAATTCTAAAGCTGGGTGTTGGATTGGCGTCAATGGGCACAACACTTCTTTTCACAATATAAAAAGTAACTAACCGACTAATTTATTTACTAGCACATGATTCCATCCCAGCGTGATGCTGCTGTGACGCTCTGAACCAGAGAGAGAGAAGAGGAAAGAGAAGATGTCACAACTTTATCGCACAGGATGGTCCTCCGCTGAATCATAGCGCAGGTCCCTCCAAGCGTCTTGCCCAATAACTAACAGCGAGGAAGAGAAGGAGGAGGAGCAGGATGATGGTGATGATATATTGTGAATTAGCATCTGGTACTTTAGTTAAGAGCCCGTCAGCGACAGACAGGCACGATGCGCGTCGACTCGCTGTGGCTGGCGGCTGTTGTCGTTTCATTACCGCTCCTCTCTCTCTGCGCCCCCCTGTGAGTATCACAGCACACACACACTAGGACTGCACCATGTAACACGTAATGTAATGTATAATCTTCTCTGATCTAATGCTTCGGAATTAGTTCTGTCAGGACCACTATTGTCAAAGATGATTGACAATTAGCATACAGTTTGGATTGGCGTTATGGTTCCGTTCTGGGCAAGGACTCCCTGCTCATCCGTGCAGCCTAGCATGGATGAGATCCGGGAGAACAGCCATAACCCCCCTAGGGTAAACAGAATAGAACCAACATAAATGTATTGCAGATATCGTTAAAGTTAAATAATGTTATGTACACATTTTAGAATTAGTCTGATTCAAAGGAGAATCAGAAGGCTGAATCCTGACTGACAGAGGAGGAGTTGGGGATGGAGGAGGGTAATTAGCTAT